ATTGTGCCAATTTCGCTACTTGAGGACTACTACTAATAGTCCTCTAGTAGCGTAACCAATTAAAACGCAGGATTTGCATTGGTCCACTAGTTGGGTGATACTAAATATATTCAACTTACTGTGTTGTGATTCCAGTGATGTTGTTCACAAATTTAACTTTCTTGTGATATATATCATAATTAGGTGTCTTCAGAAAAAATTCTGGAATCTAAAATATATTGAAACAATCAATAAAAATAACAAATCTGCCAATAGCAGGTTGTTACTAACTACTTATTGACCAAGAGTGAGGTCTTTACGAGAAAATCTCAGACCAAGGTTTGAGATTTTCCCATAAAGACCAAACATTTGAGGTTAATATTAAGTAGTTTATTTAATATATGGCTTTTTGCTTGGTTTTTGCAGGCCTGTAATCAGCCCATGAGCATTATGGGAGGATAATGCCCTAGGTAGTATTAGCCAATTAGAGCACGTGTTTTATTGGCTTCAAACGCAAGTCATAATACAAAAATAAAATACGATAATCAATATTATTATTATTACGTTCAGGCTGTTAATTTTAACCTGTCTGGTTACTGATTGCAAAAAACTCATTGCACATTTTGGAGCCAGTTGGCATTTTTTCCCTTTTGGGATGCCATGATAAGATAGGTTTGGGCAAAACTAACAATGCCAGATTTGGATCTTGCCAAGTTGGAATTCACTTGAAACACTGCCACAGGATAATTTACAGGCTATATCACCTGAACAGGGCCTCATTCTAATCCAGGAGTATGAACCACAAACAAGTAAAACCCTTGTACACAACCAAAGTGCACTAGGCTATGTGCCTTACCATTACAACTTTTTGACCTCTTCTTATGACTTCCATTTCAAATGGCCAATCAAACTATGATAACTCGCCATTGGTTTCAAACGTTCGCAGGTTGGGATTTTTGAAATTCCCATGTTGGTGGTGAATTTGACAATTTAACATCTCTGCTCTCAACAGTTCCCATGTGTTGAGCCAGCAAAAAATTGTGAAAAAGACATCAAAATTTAGTCACAACAAAAACTTTCACAAATGGCAACAGTACAGTGCATAGCACTGTAATAATTATTCCTGTCAAGATTTTTAAAAAGACTAACAGTTACTGATAGAGCAAATAATGAAAGATATGCTAGTACAATGAAAGGTAAATATCACAAGCAATCCAAATTACAAGGTCTTAAGTGACCCTCCAACAATCCAACCTTGAAAAAAAAAATGCAGACTAAAACTGACTTTCAGACTACAGATTGTAAGAAATAATATAAGATTTGTAAGAATAGAAGGAAACCACAGGTTTAGTGCTGCATTATGTGAAATATAGAATGAATTAATCTGCAAATTACCAGTCTATAAATCACTTATTGCAGCTTACATTTTGTAATGGTTGGCTATTAGGCCAGAATGCACAGAACTGCCTGCCACT